GTTAAGTGACTTGCCCAGGGTCATACAGCTAGTGAGTGTTATGTGTCTGAGGACAGATTTGAACTCAGGTCCTCCTGACTCCAAGGTCAGTGCTCTATCCACTGCACCACCTAGCTGTCCAAAATGATTTTTTTTTTTGGTGAGGCAATTGGGGTTAAATAACTTACCCAGAGTTATACAGCTAGTGAGCGTTATGTGTCTGAGGACAGATTTGAACTCAGGTCCTCCTGACTCCAACATCAGTGCTCTATCCATTGTGCCACCTAGCTGCCCCTGGGTCTGAAGAATTGGACACAGCTGAACAATAAAAACAAAAAAGAAGAGCATTGTCATGCCCTCCAATGCCTGCTTTATTAATGCCCAAAACCACTTATGCTCATTCCACTGTCTAATTTTATGAACATTGTTCACAATGTTTGAGGGATAGTCTGAAGCCTGTCACACAAGTAGTAAATAAATCAGCCAAAAAATTCAAACCCAGGCCCTCTAATTCTTAACCAAATGCTTTGACTGCTGAGTCTTAGGTATAGAGGAGTAAGGAGAAGGAAAAATAATAGGGAAGTTGATTGGATTTTAAGGTATTCCTCTACAAAGTTCATAACAAGAGTACAAATTATTCTCTTTTCCAGGACTGGGAAGAAGTATGAAAATCTGTATAGTTCTTATAAGCTTGAGGTAAGTTTTCTTTGTTAGGGAATCAATTTTTAATCACAAAAATAATGAACTAACAGTTTATCAGAGTCCTACTGATTTCATACTTTGCTTCTTTAATACAGAAGTGGGAAAATACAGTTATTTTCAGAACTCAAGAAATGAAAAGGGTCAAAGGTTTATAGGTATCCCCGAAGCCTCACGCTGGTATTTCATGAATGCTTTCTTTGAGAAGAAAGTTGAAATACTTCTCTGCTCCCCTCCAACTTCAGGTTCTATGATTCTGTGATTTCTTTTCCCTGACAGAGTTCAGGGGTTCTTCTGGTTGCATGTGGTTAAAAGTTACATTTTTGATTTTCTGAAGTTCTGCTAAGCAATTTTGTTTTTCAACAGCCTCATACTATTCCCGAAAACTAAACCTTGGCTCTTCACTCATTCTTCCTTGTTAAAAAGAGCAAGGCTCAATGACATTTTTCAACAACTCTCTCTGGCTTATGAAAATACTAACTAAGGATAGCTATAACAACAGACTGCCAAGTTCACACATGGAAATCTTGCCTATGCTAGTACTTACACTCCAAGTTTAGATGTAGCTGTGATATGATGATGTAGCTCACACATAAATCATAGGGGTTTAGAGCTGTTATTGGCCAATGTATGGTCCAAAGACCTGACTGCCTTTAAGTAATCCAACTTTCTTTTACAAGAGAGAGTAGCAATAATAATAATAATAATGCACCCTTATTTCTGATAAAATTTGTCTAATCCTGTCATAAACCTGAAGACATTTAAATGTAATTTAAAAAAAATAATAGGTCTAGTTATGTTGTTCCATTGGGTTTTTTTAGAGAATTCCTAATGGGGAAATTATCACCACTCTAGAAGACTGTAAACTTATCTGTAGTTTATAACCTTTGAGGACTGCCTGGACTCCTGAGAGATTAAGTGTTACATCTATAGGAACAAAGGAGAAAGGAAGGTCATTATTATTGCGCTATGCTAAATTCTTTACAAATATTATCTCATCTGATCCTCACAACAACCTTGGGAGGCAAGTGTTATTATAAGCCTCTGTTTTACAGTTGAAGACATTGACTTGCCCAGGGTCATACAGCTAGGAAACATCTGAGGTCATATCTGAACTCAGGTCTTCCTAACTCCAAGCCCCACCCACTCACGCCCCCAGTAGATGTCAAAGATGGTGACTCTCTCCCATGTCATGCTTCCTCTCTCATTTTCAGAGAAAAGTACTAATTTTAGACACAGCAATTTTAAGAGAGGTCTTTTGCCTATTAAGAACAAAAAATGTCCAATGGAGATGGTTTAGAACATCTAAATACCATTTGATTACTCTTACTTTTCTAATAATTTTCAGTGCAATCCTTAAGCAATTTCATCTTTCCCATTATTTAGACCTTTCTATTTAGCCTTTCTAGTCTTAGCAATAGTTTAATATCTGGTTTTTGTTTACATAAGTCTAGGTCTAGTTAATCAAGAAATTCTAACTTTCATTTGATAGCATTAGTTGTCATTATCCCCCAAACACAACTTGAGTTTTCTCAGTTTTGTGAGAATATTCTTTACTTATCCAAAAACCCTCCAACATACAATTCAAACCCAAATTTCTCCCTCATAAACCCTTCCTTGATGCCTATCACCACCCAAAATCCTAGCCTAAGGTGATAATTATTTAACTGCATTATTCAATCAGGTAAGAGAGGCCAAATGCCACAATAAAGGCAGAGCCAGGAAGACCTGAGTTCAAGTCCAGTCTCTGATATATATTGGCTGTGACCCTAAGCAAGCAGTTTAATTTCTCAGTGGTCTAGGTGATTCTCTAAGACTGTAAGTTTCAAAGAAGGTACTAATCTGCATTTAGAGAGTGAATTTCCACATCTAGGAGTTTTCCATATGTTTGAAATCATAGGTCCAGTTGCTATCCTCTACTCCTGAGGTAATTCATCTTACAGGGTCTTGTGACTTTTCTATCCTGAATTGTTATTTAAATCATTTACTTTTTATCTATTTATGTCTTACGCCTCTAACTAGAGAGTAAAATCCTTGAGGACTCATTTGAGAATTACTTGAATGACTTTTTCCTGCTTACTTCAGCTATGGAACTTTTCAATGTATCTTAATAAGGCAGCCTTTCCAAATGACCACGAAATTAATTCCTAGCCTTGAGGCAACTAAAGTCAACCAAACTAAGCAGAACTAGGAACAATGATGGAATGGGAAATGGTGTGATTTGGTATGCAGCTAGATGGAGCAGTGGATAGAGGATCAAGCCTGGAGTCAGGAAGACTCATCTTCCAGAGTTCAAATCTGGCCTCTGGCACTTATTAGCTATGTGACACTGGGTAAGTCACTTAATCCTCTTTGCTTCAGTTTCTTCACTTGTAAAATGGGCTGCAGAAGGAAATGAACACCACTCATGTACCTTCACCAAGAAAATCCAAATGGGTTCACAAAGAGTCAGACATGACTGAAAAATAACTGAACATGAACATACACGAGATTTGGTAGAAAGAGAACTGGCTATGGATCACAGTTCTGATGCTTAATACTGATATGACTTTGGGTAAATCACAAAATTTCCCAGAAGCCCAATCTTTTCATCGGCAAAAATGTGAGGAATGGAGTAGACCAAATAGCTTTGGAAGTCTCTATTTATCCTATATATAGCTTGTTTTGTATATATTTGTATGTTTTCTTCCCCATTAGATTGTAATCTCCTTGAGAGAAGGGACTATCTTTTGCCTTTTTTGTAACCCCCAGTGCTTAGCACAATGACCAGTATATAATAGGCATTTTTAAAATGTTGATTGATTAATTGATTGATAAATTTCCAAAGCCAGTTCCAATGGCCTATAATTTTCAAATGTTCATCTTCTTCCTTTTCTTGAAAATCACAACAGATACCCTTCTCTGATCCTATCACACACCCCAATTCTCCACAATCTTTAAAAGATCACAGATAATACCTCACCAATAACATCAATCAGTTCTTTTAGTACTCTATGATATAGTCTAGATGTACGTACATTGGGTAGTGAAGTGTTCTCTTACTATCTTTCTACTTATTTGAGGCATCAACATCAACTCCCTATTAGTCCAAGGTCATTCTTCTTGGCAGAGAAAATAGAAACAAAATAAAAGCCATGAAGCTTTACATTCTTTTATTTAAGTAAAATAAACTTGGGAAGGAAAAATTAACCCCTCAGCAGACCTTCACATAGGTAGAAAACACAAAGCTTCAGATGTTCATAATAAATTACAGGAACTTCAAAAATAAAGCATGATAAGAAATGTAAGAAACTTGAGATGGTTTTGAAAACAATAGAGCCACTGAAAGTGTTGTTATAGTCCTTTTTCTCACTCTACCATTGAATGGCAGAGTTTTTAAAACAAATTGTATGCAATAGGAAGAATGGCTAATAAGGAGAAGCTGGCATTGATGAAAGCATGAGACACGAGGACATGAGTAAATTAAACATGTGCAAGAAGACTACAGAGTACCTTGGGTACAGCACCAGCTGTTATTCATTTCTGAAAGCTGAAAGATCTGTCCAAACAATAAAAACTTTTATGAGTCCATTTTTCATTAAACTTTTATGAGCCATTTTCATCGATGGCTTTTTTATTACGCAAACTGAAGACAATTCACCCCATTCTCTTCATCCAAGATATACTTTTCATAAATTGGATCATACAAATCTTTGTGAGATATAATGTGAGCATAGTTCACAGTAGCCTTCACATAAGAATAAGCTAGACATATATGCTATGAAAATATACATGAGCACAGTGAGAATAGGAATGAAAAAAGAGTAAGTGTATGTTAGTACTCATACCCATTCAGAAGAAATCTGCATCAAATGTGAGCATCAAAATAGCTGAGCCACAGCTACCTTCTGAATACTCATCTGCACTTTACCGAAACTGATGATGCCTGGCTGGCTGGCTTCTGGGTAGCCTCTCATCACTGTTGTTTACTATGTACTCAAAGAACGCAAACTAATTTTTAACATTTGCCTGAGCAAAATGTAATTACTAAAGTAAATTTGCTACCAAAAATAGTCATCTAATACACTTAAGAGACAAACATAAATGGTTTACAGAATTCCCACTCTTCTGATTATAGGCACCATCACTTCCCGCTATTAGAATGGATAATTGAGGCCTGTCTATTTTGATACTTGTATCCCTTCTGTTTTTTCCCAGAGGGGACACAATTAAAGCAGTGTTAAGATACTTTGTAGTGTTGCTTCAGTTTAAGAAAAAAACAGATTACAAAAAGCTGAATTGAGCTAAACCTATTTTTGTATTTAAAAAGAAAGTTATTGTACCTCTTCAGTTTAGGGGAGCTGTTCCAAATTCTACGATCACTTGGGTATGCTTAATAAGTTCATTTCACCAGGCCCAGATAAACCACATCCCAAGGTCCCAAAAGAAATGGACAATGTAATCTCTGAATTCTTGTCAGTGATCCTTGAAGAATCCTAGAAAATAGGAAAAGTGAATAGTTCTAGTACTATCCTGCTTTTTTATAAGGGAAAGAGAATCACTTCAGTGGGTGCCTATCTCAGCAAAATGCAAGCTCCACGAGTTTCTACCGAGTTAGAAAGGGAGAGACCTGCCAAGGGCCTGTATGTCTGTGGGCTGAATACAGGTTGAGTTAAGATCAGGGAAACTCTTTACCAGATTGACCATAGGGAAATACATTTTTTCAGCCACAGCAACTATGAAAGTTCTATTGTTCAATAAATTCACAGATGCTTGAAGTTGAAAGCTTCACTCCATGGCAAAGTTCAGCAAGTGACAATGTCCCTCAGCAAGACAGAAAGTAAAATCTTCTTCTGTGCCTTTTTTGGCTCTAAGAGCCTTTGTTCTGCTTCCAGACATCCCTAAGGAGATAGGTGGAACTCCTGAGGAAGAGTTCCTTTGAGTTTTGTTAAGCAGTTACCAAGGCAATTGGAATTCCATATTGTAGGAAGCACAGGAGATCTGATCAGATAAAGAGACAAAGGATCATTCTACACACCTCACTTGTGACAGATGGCAAACTTTTCCCTCTTCCTTCAGATTATAGTAACTGCTGAATAATAAACTCAATCATGAGTTTAAAAAATAGTTCATTTTTATTTTTCAAGCAACAAGTGTGGTTTTATTATGTCTACTACAGCCTACAATGAATATTTTTGAACACCAAAAAAAAGAAAAATAAAGCTTTTGGTACATAGCTAGATAGTCCAGAAAAACAAATTTCCATTTTAGCCATGCCTGGATTTTACATTATGGTTTTAAAATATATAAATAATATGAATATATTTATAAAATATATTTCTGGATTTTAAGTCATCACCTCTTTTTCAGGAGGTTTTTGTTTTAATTCATTTGTATTCTTGGTTTATTATTGTGCTGATTAGAGTTTTAAAGTCTTTCAAAATTGTTTTTTCTCTATAATGCTGTTGCCATTGTATTAATTGTTCTCCTAGTTCAACTCAATTTGTTTTGCATCAGCTCATAGAGATTTCCAGTTTCCTCTGAAACTGTCACTTTCATCATTTCTTATGACACAATATCTCATTACATTTATATACCACAGTTTATTTATCCTTCCCCAATACGTATGTGTAAGTGTATATAAATACATATAAGTACATTGTGTTTATACCTTTACGAAGATTCTGATTCCCCATAGGCAAAATAAATAAGAACTAAGAAATGCATACTGATCTGCATGGTGGAAAATTCAGATTGTTTTGTTTTAACATTAAGGCTCTTATTATTCCATTCACTTAAAATTTCAGTGAATCAAAAAGGGCTTAAGTAATCTATTCAAAGTAAACAATAATTGTTGTTGTGTATTCAATACAATTCAATAGTCATTTATTGAGAACTTAGTATTTAAAGCATCATAGAATCACAAAGTGATAAGGGTACCCAGGAGATATTAGGTAGCACTGACTCAAGTAGCTTGAATTCCAAGACGTGACTACAAAATACCTGAAGACACAAGATGCCACAGGATCATTTTCTTTAAAGATCTAAATTTCATTGATGTGGATATTCCTTTTACCAATACAGGTCTTCATTTGTGTCATTCATACATTTGGGGCCAGAAGGGACCTTAAAGCTCTTCAAGTCCAACTGTCTCATTTTATAGTCGCACAGCTTGTGCCAGAAGCAGAGTGTGAAGCCCGGTCTCCCTGACCCTAAGTATGGCACTCTATCTTTGACAGTGGCTATAGCCAAAAATAACACCACTCCATAGCCAACCCCAAAACAAGCATTTCTGAACATGGTTAGATTGGTGCTGAAAACAGAAATACTAGGATCCTAGCTGAAGCTTTTTTCAGCTTGGGAAAAATTGATGGTTTGTGTTCAACTGAGACAGAAAAGAAGCCTAGGGTCACTTCCATTCCATGATGTACCATCAGATGAGGAATTGGCTGCAGGATATATTTTTTTCTTTTGGAAGGAGGGTCCAGACTTGTGATTTGATATGTATGAGGAATTACCATTGTGGAAACTTCCTCTACTGATACAGACTAGCAATTCATCTGTAACTTGTACTTTTTGAAAGATGCCTGGGGCACTAAGAGGTTAAATGAATTGCTGGGTTTATACAGCTAGAGTGTTTTAGAGGCAGGCTTTGAACCCAGGCTCTCTTGACTTTAAAGCTCATTCTCACACTATGCCTATTGCTCAGTATTCTGATTGAGACTATAATTATGGTTAAGGTTTGGGCATTTATTCATTGTGACATAAGCAGACCGTAACACATTACAAACAAGGAATTATAGTGAAAACTTATAAAAGATGTCAATGAAATGTATTGGAGGAAATGATGGGCTAATCACATAACAAGAGTGAGAGAGAACTTATGGAAGCTGTATATTCCACTGGTAGAAATGCCTGGAGGAAGGCCTTACAGAACATTGAATGAAGTTCCTAGGCCAGATCTATGGGATGACATGGACAAGACTTGTACGGAATGGGAAGGTATAAATAAGTTGCCATCTTCTTTGTAGAAGGGTGAACCCATATTGGTGAGATCACAGATGAATCAAAAACTGGAAGGAATTGTGATGAAGTTCTAGGCTTAAGGGATACTAGCAAGTAACATAGTTTCAAAGAAAATGGATTCTTTGTGTAGTGACCTGCACACAAATATAACAATTACCATAATATGGTGATGTTTTCAGAAATATTGTCTACTTCAAACATTTATGCTTAAATAAGAAACTGAGTAATGATTGCTATCAAAGGACTTTTAGACACAAGAAACTTTACAGATTCCATATTGATGTTTTTTCTACTAAAATATAAGCTCCTCAAGAGCAAGAATTGTTTCATTCTTTGTAGTTGTGTGCCCAGAACCTAATACAGTGCCTGGCACATAGTAAGTGCTTAATAATGCTTGTTGACTGAACCTACTAGGAAAAAAATGAAATTTTAAAGCTCCAATCTGAATGCTAATGTCCTTTGGATGCCTCAGAAAAAAATCTACTAATACAAATTTCATAAATAAGAAATCAGACTATAACAGGACAAGATAGTTCTTTGGGAAGAAAAAAGAAACATCATGTTTATAATCTTTTCCACATAAGGCTTTATAAGCAGATACATAAAAAGAGAGAAAACTAAAGATAAGAATTAGAAAACAAATACAATATATATAAGTTCATTTGTAAATCAACACATCGGGCAAAGGGGAAGGAAATGTACTTTTTCTCTTCTCCTTAGTATTTTTTCTCTACTCTTTAAAAGCTTCTGAAATATTCATATTTGCTTTTTTTATATTCTTGTTCATTATAACCCTCTAGCTGGTTTTTAAAGAAATTCCTAGTGTCTCCTAATCTTTTCATGTTATCTAACAATTAATTCCTAACTCGCATGTTTTTTTGAAAGAAATAAAAAATCATGGAAATGATTGAAAACTATGCTCCTTGTTTTTGTGTGGTCTTTAGATAATATAGAATTGTTGTGCTAAAAACACGAACAAGTTTTTCAAAAAAGTAATAAAACACTGAAAACTGGGCATAAACTGAACTGGGGAAAATTCAGTCTTGAAAAAGAAAAATATTTCCTGAGGAAAAGGGGTGGTTAAACATGAGAACTGAGTGCCCATGATGACTGTGGAATAATTTTATGGAACAGTCTTCATCTGTTCACCATAGCCCTGACTAGCAACAGTTCTGTGAGCTCTGGATGGGCTCTGTACATTCACTCAACCAGTCAACAAACATATTAAGCTTAATATGCCAGGCACTAAGAGGGAGAACATCATATAAATAACTAGGTAAATATGTGTTTATCAGAATAGATGACATGTAATAGGGGTGGGGAAGGCAATAACATCTGTGAGGAAATGGAAAAGGCTTCCTGTGGAAAACCTTTTAGAGAGAGAGAGATGAAGAGGTATGTCAAGGTCATACCTTAATCATTCATTCTCTAAGATTGCTCATTTTTTGTTTGTTAATTTGTTTTGACACCACATACAAAAAGAAGGTGGGGGGTAGAGCAGAGAGAGAGTGAGAGACTGTTTAAAAGTATGTAGAAGCAACATGGTATAGTAAATAAAGTGTGAGGCTTGAAATCAGGAAGACTTGGGTTCAAATTCTGCCTGACATTCACTGCTATGTGAACCTGGGCAAGACATTTAACTTCTACTCATCTGAGTCAATCCCATAGTATTCATAGATTTTTAGCTACGGCACAGAGCAGCCAGTCCACTGCCTCTGGAGTTAAGGGACAAGTGTTAAAATTCTGGTTCTACCTCTTACCCCCTATGTGACGATAACAAATCAGTCAACCCTTTTTTCTAGTGCCTTTCCTCTCTTGAGTAGTTCTAATTTATCCTATATGATAAGTTCTGCTATAATTTGAATTATGCATTCTTAGAACTCCCCAAGCTAGGCAAAATTTCAATATTAAAACCACAGAGCTTATGGGGAAAATGGGTTTATGGGCACAATACTCAAAAACTTGATCAACATCATTTAAAAATATATAGTAACCTAATAAAAATGGCAGCACAATTTTATACATGCTAAATGTTCAATAAACCCATCAATATTACAATAAATATTGGTGGTATCAAAGGTCACAAGCTGCTGCTCAGCCTTCATCCTGGTTCCCACAAGGACCCAAGTCAGAAAAGTTAATGGCTTTAATGGTAGCCATGACAGGCCACAACTCCCAGAAGCTGGGGTCAGGGGCAGAAGATGAGGGAGGGAGAGAGAACAGTGAGGGTACAGACTAGTCCTCCTCCACTCAAGCTCTTACTGAATCAGGAGATTTACAATAAATATTACATTTTAAAAGCCTTTCAAAAAATCTGAAGTTTGGTTATGGAAGTCAGTGATGGTCGAGTTGCAGCTTGTGAGTTATTGTAAAGTTGTGTTATCCAGAATATCCAGAACAACACATGTGAGGAACCGAGGTAGAAGGTTTGAAGTGTATGCACATATCAAATGGAAAATTCTAGGTATGCTCAATTGTTCCCTAATATGGCAATCGCATTGGAACAAATTTGTGTTTTCAAAACAAGCATTATTGTAGAACTAACTATATGTAATGTGTCTCTACATAATTGTTTGCATGTTGCCTCCTCCATTAGACTGTGAGCTCCCTGAGAGAAGGGACTGAGAGAAGGAGCTTAGCACAGTGCCTAGCAAATCGTAGGCATTTAATACATAGTTATTGACTGATGAATCAACAAACACTTCTTAAGTATTTATGTGTTAGACATTGTACTGGTTGCTAAAGATACAAAGAAGATAACAGTGTTTGCCTTCCAGAAGTTTATATTTTAATAGGAACATGTACATATATAGGTAAAAATAAGACTAGGTCTCAGTTTCTTCTATAAAATTAGGTTAGACTAGTGACCCCAAAGGTCCCTTTCAGCTTTTACTCTATGTTCTTGTAACCAAAT